CCTATACTATATAGCACTACTGTGGCATGTTGGGTCTTGAAACATAATGCTAAAAAAAAAAAAAAAAAAGCCACAGGCATAAAAGATCGCATCTTGTGTAGTTCCATTTACATGAAATATCCAGAATAGACAGACACAGAGAGAAATTAAATTGCTGGCTGCCAGAGGATTGGGGTCTATGGTGGATCAGTTTCTTTTTAAACTGATAAAAATGTCTGAAGTCAGATAATGGTGAAGATTGCATGATTCTGTGAATACATTAGGAACCTCTGAATTGTGCACTTTTTTAAAAGGGTAAATTTTATGGTATTTGAATTATATCTGAAAAACTGTTATTATAAAAGTTAAAGACATAAAGGGATGGGAAGGAGGGCAAATTTTTCTAGACCTCTAAAAGAGGTTTGAAAGAAATCCAAGAGACATCATAACTGAATATAATGAGTAAGTGTTATTTGATTCTTGATTTAAAAAACTGTAAAATAGACATGTTTAGACAATGGAGAAGCTGAATGTGGATTTGGAACTATAGCATCATACTGGCATTGCTGGTGGGTATAATTGTGTCTTCTCGTTTGAGATGGATACTGAAATATTTAGGGTGAAATAACATGCCTGAGATTTCCCTTAAGTTGCTTTTTAAAAATACAAGAAAATGGAAAAGGTATGCAAAATAATTGTGTTTGGGTTGATAGTTATTGCCTGAAAGTTAAAAATACAGAGGAGTGTTGAACTCTTATCTTCTTGCCTATTTGGAAATTTTCATGATAAAGAGTTAAAATGAAGGAACTCAAGGTTTCTTCATTATCTTAATTTGCTTTGATTCTAAGGTTTTCAGTGGTATTATTGAACACTAGGAGTGTTAGGGTGAGGCAGTAAGATGAATATCAGCAGCTCTACTTTTGAACTTTTCAGCAGGAAATGGCCAGAGGGTGTCTTTCAGATGCCTGTAGGAACTCAGAAAAATTAGTGGACATGTTAGGAAGGCATTGGGCTTAATGTATAGAGAGGAGTGAAGAGGAGGAAAACTCACAGGATAGTTAATAGGAAAAACTGACTGATGAGAAGGCTGAGCAGAGAAGAGGCAGTGAGAAAAAGTTTCTGGGAAGAGTCCAGAAACCCCTGGGCTTAGTTATTGTTACTCATCAAGACAGCACAAAGGAGAGATGTGGGATTCAAAGAATAAGCTCTTTGAGATATGCTGATTATAGTCCCATGGGCACTTTAGGTAAGGTTGTTTGTAGGGCTACTGGATACATATGTACTAGCTGAAGCCAACGGCAGGGTCTAGGCTAAATAATCACCTCTGCCTGGGAGGTGGTGAAGCTGGTGGAAAGCAGCTGGGTTGAGAGTCCAGGATAGGAATCCTAGTTTGCTGGAGGTATGTAGATGGGAAGGTCACTTAGCACTTTTTAAACTCATTAATAGGGTCCTCCCTGATGATGAAAGGGGTGAAAGCACAGTATTATAAAGCAATCCACAGCCACTGCAGCACAAGTTCAATCCCCAGCCAGGGAGGTGACCCACATAGTGCAGCAGGACCCTCCTGTCTCTCCAGTTGCTCCCCTCAGAAGTGTATTTCAGTAGATGTGCCTGTTCTGTTCCCCACTTTGTCTCTGTTGGATCCTCTCACCACCACCACCCCACATCTCTGGCCTGCACCCCAGCTCTTGATTGCATAAATAAATAAATATTTTTTTAAAATAAGCTCAGTTGATAATCTCAAAAGGAATGATAAAAGTGTTTTTACACAGAGAGCTCAATCTAATGACTGGTTCACAAGTGCTCGTCCAGTCTTGCTAACCTTATTATAGTTCTTACTAAATAACCTTAATGTTAACATAATATTTTTATAATCTGCTTACCCTTGCAGAATGACTTTATGACCTAGAAATAACATGTGTAAAGTGTCTGATATTCGGTAAATGACTCTTATTATTGTCATTCCTTGGAAATTGGTCAGCAAGAGTAAAAAAGGAGAACTGAGAAGTTCACCAGAATGGACACCAGAAGAGCAGGAAAAAGAGTGAGCAGGAAGGGTCGTTAGGTTCTCTGGAGGAGTGGAGACCAAAAGGAAGGAGAATCAAGGAGGGAGTGGTCAGCTGTGTGCAATGCCAAAGAGAGTAGGGAGCCTCCACACCACTGGACTGGGTCACTAGGAGGCCTGAGGAGTTGAGAGCACTCCTGCAGGGCAAAGAAGGAGTTAAAGTCAGGATAATTGAGGGTTAAGTAGGACTGAAATGATGAAGACATGAATCATCAACATCTTTTCAGACGGTTTGTTGGTGACAAGCTTAGAGTAGAAAGTTCAAGATGGATGTTTCGCAGGGTCAAAAAGCAGAGGTAGGGGAGAGATGCTTAACACGGCTATGAAGGTTTTGTGGGATCAGAAGGGATTATTGGTCTATGGAAAACCAACCCTACCCCGAAGGAATAAAATTCCACAAAGGAATCAATCCTCTCCCCCCTCCCTGCTTTCCCCCCACCCCCCACCCCCACAGAACACTATTTGAAGCTACCCCTTGCTCTGGCAAAAGGTAGATGTTGCCCGAAGACTGCCAGCCTGCATCTCTGCAGGTGTCTTTTTCTTAATAACCCTGCCCCTTTCAACATCAGCCCCTTAAATGCCAGCGTCTGTACAGTTACCTCTTTTCCCTAATAACCTTGAAAATGCAAACTTTGCCTGTTTGTGTCCATGCAAGTATTTTTCCTCAATAAATTTGCTGTGCCTTAATAAATGCACCATTGCTACTAATTGGGAAACTGCTGAACTCTTTCTCAGAACATCAGAACCCCACACACCAAGCCTCAACATCTGGAAGGAGAAATAGAGTGGTTGCAGGTGGCAGGGGGATATTTGATGAAGAGAAAGTTAACTCAGGTTGGGAGAAATAGAGTGTATATGCCCAGAAAAGCCCGAAGTCGGAGGGAAATGAGAAGAGACAGAAAGAACTAGGGACAGCTTAGGGGACTGAGCAAACTGGCAGGCCTGGAGCTCAGAGCCAGAGGGAGGGGGCTCATGGCAGTTTAGTGCCTGATTTTATTGAGGTGGGAGTTTAGGGGAACGTACAGACAGTGCATAACCATTAGGGCTGTTGACAGCTCTCCTGTGCCTTTTCTTCTAGGTCCCTTTGTTCCTTTTCTGACGGTCTAACTTTGGAGAAACTAAATTCTCTCAAATTGGACAGACTTAATTTCTCTCAAATCATCAGGCCCAGTGATAAGGCCAATGAGTCAATTCCCTTTAAGCTGAATTACAAGCATTTTAAGTACCAAACAAATTATCCTGACTTTAACTCAAAGGCAGTTATACAGTAGTTTGCTGTATCCTCTCTATACTTAATTTGGATTAAAATTTCATTGTTGCCGAGAAGGCATTGCTCCTCTAAGCCAGAGGAGGTTTCACTTTGTTGATTATTTTTTAAAGATTTATTTACAAGATATACATGCAAGAACTGGGCCAGAGGTGCAGGGGGTGAGAGGATTCATGGGAGACAGTGGGATGCAGAAATTCAGGTTGCCTGAAATACAATGCTGGGGGGAGCAGTAGATGAGACAGGAGAGGTCTGCTGTGCCATGTGGGTCAGCAGGGATCAAACTCTTGCTGCAGTGGCTGCAGACAGCTTTACGGTGCTGTGCTTTAACCATTTAATTTTTGCCACCTGATTTTGGCAGAAGACACTGTGTACACCCCACCCAGTTGCCACAAAAGTTCCTGCATTAGTCTCTTCACTGAGATTTTTAAGTTTCTTCGTAGCAAGCCTTTCCACATTCACTAACATAAAGGAAAGATGGTGTCCTTTGGCCTTCCAAAGAGACTATAAAGAGAGCAATTCAAGACTAGAGACTCAAAGTTTGAAAGGATCTAAGAAGGGTGAAGGGCCAACACAATGTTAGTCCTTCTGCCACCTTCACCCACCGAACATGATCTTATAATATCTACAAGCTAGTGGCTGGCTGCTCAAATTTGTTGATACATTTTTCTCCCCACAAAATCATCTTAGTTACATCCTTAACCACTTCCCTCCCCAACACACACACACACACACACACACACACACACACACACGAGCTATTGTTTCCTATTTAAAAACCACTTGAACAGCTTGACGTTGGAAAGTTACTGAACATGTCACCATTGAAGTGGGGACAGTATACAATTTGAGAATAAAAATAGATGGTAAATGCTTAGAACAGTAATAGAAGTTTTCGTTTTAGCATATGCTCCAATTTTATTCCACTTAGTGGTTCGCGATATTGGAGTCTGTCACCTTAGGGGTGGCTTATGGTTCCCCCACACAGCACCCCGGGTTGATTACGATCTGCTCGTGAACCCCGAACGAATGCAGAGCCTGGAAGCATAGAAAGAGGCTGGTCCTTCCCGATCAGAAGGGGCCATGGGATGAGCTTCTGGAGCAAGACCTGCCCTCCTCCGTCCTTTTTTGGAATATTCCATTTAGCCGGTCACAAACTAAACATATACTGGAGTGGTGTAGTGGTTGGAAGGGTAAACTCTGGCTCATTGCCCAGTCCTGGGGTACTGGCCAGGGGTTGTGGGAGTGGGGGAGGTTGAGGATTTTCTTGGCGTCTGCAGGAGGAAGATACCCTGGCCAGAGTGAACCAGACCCGCCAAGGGCACTGGGGAGGAGCCAGAACTCCCAGACATTTGAGAAGGCTGCGCCGCGCAGGTCTGCCTCACTCTCCCGCTGCGGAAAGAACCAGAAGGACCGAGGGGGCGGAGAAGCGTGGTCCCCAATGGCCAGTCCAGTCTTGTTTTCCGTGCCAGCCT